TGTGTGTGTGTGTGTAGCAGAGAGAACGAGAGAGAGAGAGAGGTGGTGCAGGGAGAGAGAGAACGAGAGAGAGGAGGTGCAGTTGAGCATAGAGAGAGAGAGAGGTGGTGCAGGGAGAGAGGGAGAGCAAGAGAGAGAGAGGGAGAGCAAGAGAGAACCGAGGCGACAGAGCGGAGGTGACAGCGGAGAATGGAGAGGAGCGCGTCCGCCCGGCGAGCTTTGACGGCGGCGAGCGCGCAGATCCCACTCGGTGTTTTCCCTCTGGAGCCCACGAGCTGAAAGAAACCGGGAGGAATCTAACCGGGGGGTCAAAGGAGAGGAATGGCTGATCCTCTGCGGAGGACTTTACTAGCGAAACTCCGGGGGAAGAAATCCAAGAAAGGAGCGACGGTCGGCGGTGGATACGGATCTGCTGCTGCGGCGGCGGCGGCGGACGGGAGCCGAGAAGGTAAAGAAAAAGTTTTGCGGGGAGGCTCCGGTGAGGCTCCGGTCGTGTCGCTCACGGCGGAGAGAATGAGCGCGTACGAGAATTGTGTTGACCTGGCGACGGTGCGCGCAGGGCGGGTTGTGGTGGTCCGGGAGAGTTGCGCAGCGGAGTTGTCCGGCGCGCGTCCCCCGGAGCAGAGCAGCGGGGGCAGGGTTCGGGTTAACGGGGTCTCACTTCAGAGAGATGCGCAGGTTGCGGGTGGTGCGATCGGGGAGGGAGACGAGAGCCACCGGGGGCTGAGAACCGCCGATAAAACCGCGGGCTCGCCGGCGGGGGTCCAGAGAAAACGCTTCGTCTCGGTGCCTCGGCAGCGCAGCGCCGGGGATTCAATCGGGTTTGGGGACAATTCAAACCACGTTAAGCGCCGGGCTGAGCCGCAGACCGCGGGCGGGGAAGCTCCTCCAGAGGACGCGGCGGAGTCCCGGCACATGGCAGCGGCTGCAGCGGCCCTGCACGGACACAACGCCAACCGGAGCTTTGACAACAACCCGAATTCGGAGGCACGTTGCGCAGTCGTGGATCCAAACTGCGTGCCAAGCAACACGGAGGAAAACATTGTAATCAGAAATATTGAGAGCTATGAGCCAGAGTTCGCAGGGGACATTAGAGGGACTGTGGGGGGGCTGCAGAGCCCCACGTTTTTCCCCACAGAGTTAGAGATATGCGACATCAACATGGCATCTCTGTGCGCCACAGAGGCCTCTCTCAGATACCCCTTAGACAGCGAGGACGAGGATTACTATGACAATGAAATTCTGCCTTTTTATGAAACTATCAGAGTGAAAAGCGATCGATCAGAGGTTGCAGACTCGCCTCAGTCGGGTCAGGATAGAGGAAGCAGTGCTCAGGAGACAGACAGGCTTAGGAGCCAGCTGAAGGAAGCTTACTACCTTCTCATCAACGCTATGAACGACATCAACCTGGATGTCCAGCAGGGTGGTGGTGGTGGTCTGGCGGAGCAGCAGGCCACCTCCTCCTGCAGCAGCCACTCCAGAGACAGCCTGTGCTCCAGGCTGTCGGCCAAAAACATGGACAGTGACTCCTGGTCCTCAGGAGGAGACCACAGTCCACAGCAGGTGTCTGACACTGACTCACTCCTGCTCTGCATCAGTGGGAACCCTGAGTCAGGCCTCAGAAGCAGGCTGAACAGTAAGAGCATGGTGAACCTGACTTTGACCAAGACGAGACCAACTCTGTTGCGCTCGGCTAGTGACGGAGCCATCAGGTACTCAGGTGGAGTCTCGGTCTGTTTGAGGGCTCCTGGAACACAGAGTCCTGATAAAGAGGCCACAGAAACTCAAGAGGAAGTCCGAGATGTGGGCGAGCTGTCGGACACCAACGCCATCAGCAGTGATGAGCTGCTGCAAGATGCTGGCAGAGAGGAGGATGGCGGCGGGCGGCTCAACGAGAGCAGCGGCTCGGTCAACAGCCTCACGGGATCCTCGGACAGCAACGCCGAGGCATCGACACATCAGAGTCACGGCAGCAAGAAGGAGCTGATCGGAGTCTGCTCACAGGGGCCCCACTCTTTCAACAAGGGCCACGGTGTCACTGTCAATAAGATGCAAGAGTGGATGCACAAAGGCCGTTTGCTGTCTTCAGAGATGAAGCAGCGTATAGAGGGCTCGTCTTTGCCTCGTGGTGGAGGCCAGAGCCAGGAGCGCTCCTGTTCCCAGGCTAACCTGGGTGGGTCCAAACCTGGGGTCCAGACATCCAGCCGGGAGGTCAAATCTGGGAAGGCTAAATCCCCTACAGTCAAGTCACCTCGACAGCGGCAGCAGCAGCAGCAGCCAGGTAGGAAGGCTACACGGAGTGGCCTCAGCTCCCGTGGATCCTCTAAGATCAGAGACCTCTCACCCTCCTTCCTCACGTCTGATTATTATCATCCTCCTCCACTCATAGTAAACTCCGTCTGGTGGTGGTCCACACTGCACTCCTCCTCTTCTGGATGCAAAGCAAAGTGACGGGGACACCTCAGATCTCTTTGCTTTCCTTTTACGACTCTAACCGGTGGCGGGTTCTGTCCTTCATACTAATTTAGGTGCATTTTAACACTGAATTAAATCACATCAGGTTGTAGGTCGAGTCACTCACAGCGTAGATCAGTAACAACTAACTCTCCTCTTATAGCTGCGGCAGTGTTTCTCATGGTGGTGGTGGGTTTGTGTGTATATGTATGTAATGTTTGAATATGTTCAAAATGTCAAATGATTTCCTAACCATGCTTTTATATTCTGCTTGTGATGCGGTTTGAGTATATGAAAACATCTGTGTCATGAAACCATGTTACCATGTTTCTTCATTCAGCAAAGGATGGGATGGAAATTAGGCTAAAGTGTCGTCCTCCGCAGATGCAGTTCCCCTGGTTTGGTCTGAAATTGTTGCTGTTAAACTTTCCATTTTTCTCAGCACGTTAGTCCCGGAGACTGTTTGACATTTGAACTCGACACCAAAACAAACAAACCCCTCGCTTCAGCGCTCTTTCAGATGCTCCACCCCACAAATTCATGCATCGCCAAGGCAATGACACATCTGCAGAATACAGAGCGAGGAAGCGAATATTCAGTTTCTTTCCTCAGTCTTCTCTTCGTCCATCACGCTGTCTCTGATAGATGTAACATCCATGTACCGGCCTTAATGTTGCCTCCATCTCTTGTTCTCTATCTCCATCCCTCTCTCATCTACTACCTGTTGTTCTGTGCAACAGCTTGAACAGCCTCTGTTCTGAGGTCTGAGCCACTTTGTTTACTTCCTATTTGCAGAGCTGAGTAGGAAAAACCAGAGAAAAGACAGAGGAGATATTCACCTGATATAAAGGTGTAGTGGATTAGAATCACTTACTTTACCTATTCACCAATTATTTGGCATCAGAAGTTCAGACCAACACTTCATCCTTGACCTCAGACACTTTAATCGACCCAAAAATCGTGGCACAACGTCTGTTTAGCCACTTTGAAAAGCTTAGATCAATAGATGGACGAGTACCGTATTGATCCCAAGGGAAATTTGGGAAACTTTGCACCAACCTTGCGATGATGCTGAGCTCTATTACACTAGTGTCACTCTGCATATTTATTTAGTGACCTTTTCATTGATTTTACAGAATGATTTACACTCTGAGTCGATGCTGACCTGAGCTGACTGCAAACAAGGCAGTTAGCCAGTTTAATCACAGGATTTGAAAACGGCCTGTGTGGAAAACTGTTGTAGAGAGTGTTGGAAAGTAGAATCTGTTTATTCTGCCATTCATTTTCTCACCCTCTGTAACAGATTTGCTTGTGTTTGGATGTTTATGAGTGTGTGTGTGTGTGTGTGTGTGCAGGCCTGTGAGTGTGTCTGTTGTGCTGACAGTGTTTTCCAGAATAGAAGGATGTGCTGCCATGTGCGCAGGCTGCTGTTTGACTGTCAGTTCGCTGTGCTGCTCGAAATAGAGTGAGATCTCCGAGGGCCGCTGAGCGGAACCTTCCATGTTTGGCGTCCAGCCGCCATTGGCTCTGTGGCTTTTACCATTCCAGCTCTTTCCTCTGCTGCCTTTTGGTTAAAATGAAGACAGGACCTTCTTGATATTAGTTTCCGAGGTTTCTTCCCCACACGATTCTCATTTTTTCCCCCATTTTGCTCAGCGTTCCCCTCTCTCTGTCCCCCACTGAACTTTTCCACAGCTGTGGCCAGAGGAATCCGAAGCAGGAGAAAAGCCACTGCAGTTATTCTTTGTGGTAGTCGTGTGTGTGTGTGTGTGTTGGGGGGGGGGGTCGGCTGTCATGTCACCTTCCTCCCCAGTCGTTTGCTCTGGACAGCTCCATGGTAACTTGCATTTTAAAGAGACTTTAGGCTGAATATTTAGGATGCCATTCCTGTTGTTTAACTTGTTTGCGTTGTGTCACTTAATTCTTTGCCATGAATGAACAAAATGAACGGCGATTTAGTATTTATGAAGGTCAGCCCTGGGCTTCCATCTCCACTGTGGGCCTCTCAGCGCCTCACAAAGAGCCATTTAAAAGAAAGTAAAAGAAATGCCAGAAGCTTTCAAAAGCTCCAGTGGATTGCTTGTCTTGGCCTGAAAATCTTCATTGAGTTCCTGGGTCCACTCTCTATTTATGCTAATATTTGCATATTTCAGACTTTCTAAAAATAGCCCTCTTCATCCCCTGGAGTGTTGCTCTGAAATTAAACCTCACTATTAGTTCATAAGACAAGATATAGGCTTAATTAGACAGGAGCTAATTCATTTTTGTTCTGGCTTGTCCTTTAATTACAGTGTAAATTGTGTCAATTATCACCCACAGACGAGCGTGTCACTTCTCATAAATGTGTGGGTGAGAGATACTGTGCACATAAGCATGAACGTGCACGTCTCTGTATCGAGCATGCACGTTTGTAACTGCAGCTGGAGGATTTATAGTGTTGTTGTGGTGTACTGTGGCAGAGCAGCGGCGTGCCGGCAGGCAGGATCCACGAGTCATGTTTTGGCCAGACCTGAACTGAGGAGCAGTGTGTCAGTCAAACCTAAAGTTGAGACTGAGCCATCGACACCACAAACAGAGCAGATCTCCCACTCACTCACTCCCTGCAGGCAGATATGTCTTCTCGTTTATCTGTTTCTTTCAGTCCTCTGGTTCATCCTAAGAGAGATGTGCATCCTGAGTTTGCATGGCTGGAAATATTGAATGCTGCAGAAAAGAGCTGCAGTCAGGGGGAACAAATTTGTTTATGCATCTGTTACGTCCCTCGGAGGTCGAGGATATGAGGGACTAACAATTAGAAATAAACGGGGGGAAAACAAGTGACCAGCAGGAAAATCAAGTATTTTTTCTGCACAAAACTGAAGAGAGAATAAGCGAACAAAGAACAACTAAAATAATCTCCAACAAAATTCAGATTAACCAAAAGAGCCCAAAAGAACAGAAATTATTCAAAGAGTTCAAAAATACACAAAAAGCACAAACCAACTCATGCACACCACCACACAGTTCACTCGCAGCTCTGGCAACATCTGAAGCTCTGCTCAGGGTTTTATCAGCCTCTCCCTGATTCCAGAGTGGCTTCAGCTGTGCCAGTGGAGGTGCTGCAAGAGCCCACACCTGGAGGAGATGAGAGGGAGGGAGAGAGAGGGACAGAGGGAGAGGGAGAGAGCATGAGAGAGAGAAACACTGCACGTAACAGCATCTCTGCAGAAAGAACATGTCAACTTTTTGGGAAGTAGGTTTCTTTGCTTCCTGGCAGGGGAGCGTGATACCACTGGCTGCCTGCAAAACCTACTCTGACAACCAACTGCAGAACTCTGAGCAGCTCTAAGGATTCTGGCAGATGTGTGCGAAATGCAAAGAACATGAGCCAGTCTCGCAAAACGTTCTCAGGATTTTACACACATTTTCTAGAGATTCTTGTAAAAGTTTCTGTCACGGGGCTCCGTAAGCTTCAGAGTTGTTGGTAGCCAGATGTTTAGTCAGTCATCTCTACCCCTCTCATGTAATTCTCTGCAGGGAAGTGAAAATGCCTTTTCCATTTCATGTCCGACAATTCCTCGAAAAGCAAAACACACAGGTATGATGGCTATGAGGTAAAGTCAGGATTAAGGTTTCCGGGGCATTGCTCAACATTTTGTTGACATTAATTCCAGCCTCCTCATTCACAATAGCTCGGAGTTCTGAGAATGCAGGTGTAACACAATCCTCGTCATGTCAGGACGACGTGGTGTTTGTTCTCTGAATTTTACCAAACACCTTGTTACCAAGCTGCAGTTCCCCCCCCCCTCACATAAACTCACATGGCTGACGGAGGAAGTACATTCATTTGTCTCGTGGGGTTTGTCTGCACCTGGACAGATTTATGGAGGACGGTAGCTCTAAAGATGGATCGGGTGATGGAGCAGAAACCTGAGGCATCAGGGTTCAGACCAGGAAGGTTTACGAGATGGATGACTCACGTGATGCTGTCTGCTCGGAGTGTGTGGCAAACACTCGCAACATGTTGGGTTGTTAAATTACTGATTAACAGTAAAACAAACTGGATTGTATTTATTAATTTCTGGAACACTTCCAGAACATTGAGGTGAGGCGTCGAGCTGCGACTTTTTTAACTGCGTATCGGCACCAGTGTCGACCCTCGTCGGTCCAAAGGCTCTGGACTCTTGTTCTCTTTCCAAGTTGACATCTTCGTCGTCATTTTGTAAATCTCCGACATCTACGGCAGAAAATGTCCTGAACAACTGACTCGGACATTTGCATTATCTTTATTTTCACAAAGAGCTGTAGGACAGAGGGGCGACTGGAAGAGCTGTAGCATTGACAAGAATTAGTTTGTCAGCTCTAGAAATTGTGATATTAGCACCGTGCTGCCATGACGCCTCAGTGGGATGCAAGTGTTGACATGTGATGCAACCCTGGATGATCTCAGCTCTGTAAAAAGTAGAAAAAGAAAAATCTACACTGAGAATCCCGATTAGCATTTGAATGAGAGGCAACAGGAATGTATGGCACACAGCGAACGATTCCCTGTGAAGAAGAGGGGCGGGGGTTGGGGGGGGGGGGCAGAAACTCTGTATACACAACAAAGTGTTGTCTGTGTCGAGGAGAAAACGAGCTGGTGTGTGTTTTGCTCTTATTAAGAGAGAGGAGGCTTCAAGAAGGAAAAGGAATCCAGGAAACAAAAGGAAAGCCTATGGGAAAGTGGATTAAGTGTTGTTGTTGTCTTTGAGGAGAAAAAACGATTCAGTCACTCAAGAGATTTAAACACGAGTATAATTGGGTTTTTACTGTCAGGCTCACATGGCACAGGTTCATACCAGCACATTCAGGAAATCAGCGTCTTTCTTTATAAGTGTGCATTCCTCTCTGCACCTCAGACAAACCCACAACACTCCGCCCCCCGTCCACCTCCGCCTCGCTGCCATGATCCCTTCACGTTCTCACACAGACGCGCTCTGACCATCTGTTACCTCCAGGTCAGGGGTGTGAGTCCGCTCCGAGCAAACACGCATGATGACTGTCATGAAATTCTAATAGATGAAGCATCTCTTCTGCTCCGCGTTGTGTTTATAGAAACTTGATGATCTCCAGCCTCTCACGCCTGAAGAGAACTGAGTTGTTTGCTCACTTTAACTTGCCAGAAAACTTTAAGATCTCGTGACAACAACTCATTAGAGCTATAAACGAATATTTAACCTAAAAAGAATCGTCAGGTTCTTTTAAAAATTTCTCCCCTCGCTGCCGTATTTTTTAATCTTTATTGAGATGCTGCTGTTTTTCACTTTAGAATGTTGCCCTACACGCTGCAGGTTATTTTCACTTGACCTTTTGAATTTCATTTTTTCTGGATCTTTAAAATGTGAAAATGGCAAAACTCAATATTTCCGGTTTACTTTTAAATCAGATCAATAAATAAGATGATTTAAAAAAATAAAGCAGACAGTGAAGAGGTAAAGGTTCATTTTCGTTAAATGGCATAAAACAAACTTAGTTTCTCCTTTTTTCAAATGTTCCACCTTCACTAAAACATTTTGGAGCATTTATAACACCTTTAGAGATGGCTCATCTTGAATAAAACTCCCTGTGAATTGTTTATAATATTATTTTGTGAGGAAGAACAAACCCAGAGGAACCACAATCTGTTTTTCATCAGCTGAATACTGCACTACGAGGATTCTACAGTCAAAGGTGTTGAAGTGCAGAAATACTGATGTGCCGAGAGCAGGAGGATCTGAAGGTTCGATATGTATCAGCAGTGAAAACAGCTGAAGTTTCACTTATTAGGCTGAAGCAGTCACTTGCTGCTGCTGCTGGTGTTCGGGGAAGGTGTTGCTCCTGGAGGAGTGTGACACCGGCGAGGCTGTAAATCTGGAGCTGTGGTCTGGAATGCTGCTCGTGTCAGAACACGCTTCCTCCTCCAGTTATGAAAGACCCCTGGAAGAAGATGGCATGCTGACAACAACTCCACGCACAACCACCTCACCTCTGTTTAGTCTTGCGTTAGCAGAGCGCTGGCAGCGGAGAATCCCAGTTTGTCTTGGTCGTAAAAATCCTTCCCCTCTCTCTTAACGAGGTTGTTCCGTAATTGATATCACACTTGTTTACATTTTAATTTAATATTAGCTTATCGTGTTCCTCCTCGTGTGATATTTGTTAATGAAACAAACTTTATAGTCTTTATGTCGTAAGATGTAGCATTTCACTTTTTATAATTTGTACTTTTCACTGAATTTACAATTAATTATATATTAATTACTAAAACAACTTAATGCAACAGTTCTGCCCCATGAAGATTACAATGTTTTAGTCCGCCAAGGTTATATTTATTTATATATGTTTTCATTGCTGATCCAGGAACGTGATCTTTCATTCGTGATCATTTCCTGTACAGTAACAAATCGTTTATCAGAGAATGGATATTTTGCCTTGCAGAAAACTTCTTTAGTTGTTGTCTATGTATCTGATCTCAATACATGGATTTGCAGCGTAGTGATAAAGTGTCCTCAGGTCTCAGAGCGTCCCTCTAGTTGAAACTACTTTAGAGCGATGTTGTTTCAGCTCCTTTAGGAGGGAGATGAGTTCATGTGCAGAGAAAGTTTCCCTTGCTAACTATTAATTAAATGTCGAAGAGCCTGTAGTTTTGAACACATGTTGGTCGTCAGACTCTTTGAGTGAACTTGACGATAAACAAGTCTACAAAACATGTAAAAGCTCCTGTGCATCTCTGTAAGTTTCACGTAAATATACATTTTCTTCTAGTACACAGAGTTCAGAGGGTTATGAGGAGCTGCCAGGTCAGAACAGCTGAAAACAAAACCATGACGGGTTATTACAGCCTGCAAGCTCAGGCCTACACATTAACTCAGTCAGCACGGAGGCAGAAAACATACTTTTCTCCCTCAGTCAGGAGTCGGCACATGCTAAAGCTGCTCAGCTCCGGCTCCTCAAACACAACATCAACTCCTAATCCCGGCTAATGGAAGCACGATGCTGCCTCAGGTCAAACAAACTCGTTTCAGGCTGGAAACCGTGTGTAAACTAAACATAAAGAGGAAGAAAGAAATACTTCAAGATGTGTCTTTGCATCGTAGCAGTGTGGTGGTCTGAAAATGAAACAGGGCTGACAGACTGTTTGAGATTAGGGACGCCTTAAAAGTGGCCTCTGTTCGAGCCTCTGGAAGCTGGAGCTGCAGGAACGCGGAGGAACGGCGTCCCAGCAGAATCTGTTTCATTCCACTTCACACTCGTCATATTTCTCCAGCGGAATTAAGTCCAGCACTTGTTATGTTGTCATCAGTGGAACTACAAAGTTGGGTGTTTATGGGATTTTGGAGGCGGTCGATTAGTTGCTTCATGAAGTTGCCTTGTAGATCACAGGAGATCTGAGAGAGCCGCTCGTCTTTCAGGGAAAAGCAAATCCCAGCGGAGCCCTCTGCTCTCTCTGTGCCACTTTCAGGCTTTTGTCAATAAAAGCAGTGAAGCACAAAAGTACATTAGTCTCAATCTATTGAGTCGACGTTATGTAATTTGAAACCACGTGATTTTTTAAAAATGTACCTCGGATTTCTTCCGCAGCACTGCTCTGAATTAATAACACACGGGGAAAAAACCCTGTCGAGGCTCTTTCTGACTTATTCGTTCTGACAATCACACATGCTCACACTGGATGCCCCCGAGTTATATTTTTAATCCGTAAAGTGAAAATACTCCCTCATCTGTAATTTGGTGGACGCAGCCCGACGTGCATGAGGTGCATTTCCTTCAGGAAAAAGGAGAAGTTGTCATTAGAGCATGTGGAGGGGCTCGTCTGGGAGCTGCCGCCGATCAAAACAGTCTTTAACGCGAGTCTGCTGTACATGTTTGAGCAGGACCCTGCACACGCACACACACACACACACACACACACACACACACACACACACACACACACACACACACACAGAGGTTGTTTTTCTTTGAGCACGTTTTTCTAAAAGCAGGTCAGATGATTTCCAGAGCAGCTTTTTGATTTCTACTTTGAAAACAAAATTCTTAACACTTGAAGCTATGCAGGTGCTTTTTTTTTGTTGCCTGTGTTTGGCACATTAAGGAACAATGTCACCATCCTCATTATTTGCACATGTCACCACCGGCTCTACACATTGTAAACCCCCTCTTTACACACACACACACACACACACACACACACACACACACACACACACACACACACACACACACACACACACACACACACACACACACACACCTCCCCCTCTCCGGTTTATTTTCACAGCTGTAACTCCAGTGGTTTCTTGCTCTTCCTTTTTTGTTTTTGCTGTGATGGAAGATATGCATCCTCTAATCTCTGGGAACATGCGGTGGATTGAAACTTCGACATTGGCCATTAAAAACTATTGGACAATGTCACGTCCAACAACACGTCCCGGTCCGATGAGATGGAGCAGAGACGTGGCAAAGGCAGAGGCCAGAATGAGAGGAGAACTCTTTAGAGCATAAAAGCATAATTTAGTGTTTCAGCACCTCTGGTTTCTTGATACAGATGTTTTCTTCAACTGGAAAAGATTCAAATTGTCTGAAACTGAGTAAACGATTCTGTAACTGAATGCAGTTCAATACTTTTTGGGTGATGAATGATGATTGGTTGCTTTTTAGTGTCATGAAGTTGTTCCGCTCACATTCTTTCTCTCTCCATCGCCCCTCCCCCCCAGCGTTCATTGAAAATGTCCAAACCCCCTTCGCAAACGGGCGCGAGGTGGCCAGAGCGGCCGATCCTTCGTCACGGAGGCAGCCGCTCACCACCATCACCGTGTCCAAGAAGCGCAACTGGCTGCAGCAGAGCTCCCTCGGGAAGAATCACTGCGCCAAGGACGAGCTGCAGGGAATGCTGGGAGCTGAGGAGGAGGGCTCCCATCAGCCTCCGCCTCCTCCCAGTCCCTCCCCAGACCACCTGAGACCCTCAGGGGGAGCCCCGCCACGGCCAGTCCGCCTACAGCTGCCTCAGGTTAGCGTCTATGTCTTTCTGTTCACAGGGATGAGATTTATGGAGGGTAGGGTTACACAACATCCAGCATGAGGCTGTTGTTCCCCCTTTATCTCATGTTTTCCTCAAACTTCAAATTTGGCTTTATCGTTATTTAGGTCATTGTCGGTCAGGCCAAGGTGTCTCCTTACCCTCGGAGCGTGGACCCCGCCGAGGAGAACGACGCAGACGACGAGGGGGAGATCTGGTACAACCCGATCCCCGAGGACGACGAAGGGGACGCGTCTCACCGACCTTCGGTGCGGCTGCTGGTGCCCCCTCGAACGGAGCCCGAGCGGAGGCCCAGCAGGGGAGGGGAAGTGGGCCACGGAGGAAGCGGCATGCCGGAAGTTCTCGGTGAAGGCGTCGGTGGCGGCTCGGGAGATGGGAGTCAGGGGAATGCTGTACATTCCACAGAGGCTCTACATCTGCACAGACAGATGCTCGCGTGCAAACCTCAGGAGGAGGGGGGGCCTTCCAGCAGCAGAGTCACAGGTGAAGTAAAAAAAAGAAAGCCACCCACACCTTCTCTCATTCTTACTTTCCATCTTCCTTTTTTCAGGCAGTTGCTCGAGGACCAATTTGTTGTTCATTGAGTTTCCCAGCCTGTGTCTCAGAGCAGAGTTCGGCGGCTGTGCGCACCTTAATTTCAGCTAATGTTGAAACGTTCCCAATTAAAAGATAAACAGACGTATTCAGCTGTAACTCTTCCCTGGTTCACTATCGCTCTAATCACATAAACGTTATATAAAGTACTCGGGACCGAAAATAGAGTTTTACTGGGATTCCTCCACAATCTCAGAGAAATGAACTGTAGCTGAGTTCTTTCTTGTGCTGTTGTGTTTGATCAGTGTAGACAGGAGCTGTAGCGCTCTAATCATATCACTCCATATCAGTGTCCCTCATTAGTTAAACTCAGACAGACATTAGCCAGGAGGAATTCAGCGTTGGCATTCCTGAGAGGAAAGAATATCCATTTACGTGTGAGTGCAGGTCACACAGAGGGCTGCAAACCTCGTCAACTGGTGGTTGTTAGAGATTTTCACTTCACAGTTGAATACGTGTCTCTGCAGTTTGTACAGACGCACACACAAGAAACAGATTTAAACATGTGAATGGATTTAGATGCTCTCTGCACTTTTATGCATGTGTGTGTGTGTGTGTGTGTGTGTGTTGCCAACTCTGTTCTACAGCGGCAGCGTAATGATGACAGCCAGCGCGCGGCTCCCTGTCTCTTAATAAGCTCGCTCTGTCTTTCCTAACTTCCGACTTTTTGTTCTCTCTGATGTGGCAACATGGTAGTTTGAATCAAGTGGCACATCTTGAGCTGAGCCTATAATTACAACTGTTGACAACACTTCTGTGGCACGCAACAGCCATTTCTTGTCGTTTGAGCACAAAGCAGAATAGTGAATAGTCGGGGGTGCGCTCGGTGTAATCTAATACCTGAGCTTTAGTGTTCGCTGCTGCGGATTTACTGCAGGGATGAAGCCTGGAGATGAGCTCGGGAATACGTTTTTTCGGGGGGTTTGAAAAGTTGAAGGGATTGAGATGTGGTGTTGGAAATGAAGGAAAATCCTTGTGGCTGCAGTTTGTCCTGTTTTGAATCAGCAACCTCTTTGTTTATCTTGGGTGGAAAGTCTTAACTCATCGAGGTGTTGCATAATCTCACAAAAACTAATCTGCCCTTGACAAGGACGCAGGGTTTAATTGGCGGCCCGATAAACTCCCTGATCCTCATTGACTGGCTTCGAACCGCTCGCTGACATGACGTGTGACTCAGCGAATCTCTCCGTCATGAGAAACTTTCCTTGTGGGATTAGGATTAAACCGGTCCTGAATGAGTCTCAGTGTACCGGCCCAGGAAGAGCGCCGATCACGGCACAGAGAGCTAATTGAATTCAGGCTATTTCTGCCTGCCGATGAAATGTGTCGCCGGGTGTCTCTTGGTGCTGGGTGAGCAGATGAGCTGACACATTTGAAGACCGGAGCTCTCAGAAGTTTTAACGGAGAAGAAAACTTGTTCTCCGCTTGTTTAGAGGAGACACACGATGGTTTTTCAGTTTTCTTCCTCTGGTGTGTTCCACAGGTTATTCTGTAAATGTAAAACACTGAGTCTCCTTAAACATCAGGAGTAAAACCAAGTGTTTCAGACAGAGGCTGAATAGAGGAGCTGCAGCTCCTGTAAACAGTTGGCATGTAAACCTTTTCAAATTAAGATGATGAAGCTAAATAAGAGCGTAATTTATCTCCTTTAATGTTCAGTTGGCAGTTTCCCTTTGTTTTCCGTTAACTTCCGTTCAATCACTTGTGTTTCGTTTACATCCTGAGATTAGACTCAGTAGCAGGTCTGTGATAGTGTGAGTTCACTGGTGCTCGGACTGAAGCTGTGAAAGTGGAAGTCACGGTCGTTTTCCCTCCCGCTCCGGAACTGCCTCCCTCTCTGCTGCCTGTTGACTTTGTGACTGATTCCTGTGGGTTTGGCAACGACATCGTCCCACACTTCACTTCAAMAAAAAAAAAAAACATCAAGGCCGGCTGCGTGTCATCAAAGAGGAAACATTATTGTGTGTGTGTGTGTGTGTTGTGGGTTTCAGTGGGCTCTTTGTGTTTAAATCAAAAGGAATGGCAGACAGGTTTACCATCGCCTCAGCGTTTTCCTCTCTATCTTTAG